CCTCCAAGATTACTAACTGGGGGATAATACCTTTGCTAGTTTCCTTCCACTTAAACCCGGAACTGATGAACTCAGCATTTCTGCCCCTGTGAAATGCTCTGTAAAGAATTCCAGAAATGGAACTTGGAAGAAAATAGATGTTCAGAGCTCATCACAAAAGGTGTAAGTTGCCTAACAAGACATCAAGGCAGCTTGATTCTTCTTCTCGGAGATGGAGGATCGAGAGGCTCTAAACCAGGGATCTTCAAACTTGGCCCTTTTATGACTTGTGGACTTCAACTCCCAGAATTCTTCAGCCAGCATGCCTGGCTGATGTATTCTGGGAGCTGAAGTCCACAAGTCATAAAAGGGCCATGTTTGAAGACCCCTGCTCTAGATAGTGCCTGAGATTATTGGAAAAGCAAAACGTGTGTGGATCTAACAGAGGACAAAAGAACCGATTCTGAAAAGCAAAAAAAACATGCAGTTGCTATTTCTAAACAAAACTGTGGGTGCTCCAACACTCAAGGTTTTTAAGAAAAGATTGGACAACCATTTGCCTGAAATGGTATGGGGTTTCCTGCTTGAGCAGGGGGTTGGACTAGAAGACATCCCAAGGTCCCTTCCAACTCTGTTATTTGGTTATTTTGTTACTGAAGAAGCTGGCCTGAAAACAAGCCAACTAAAGATAATATTGGCATCCTTTTTTTAAAAAAATAAATAAATTCAAGTAGTCCTTGATGTACGACTTCAGTTGAGCCCAAAATTTCTATTGTTAAGCAAGACAGTTCTCAAGTGAGCTTTGCCCCATTTTACGACCTTCCTTGAACAGAGTTGTTGAGTGAATCAGAGCAGTTCTTAAGTTAGTAACCCGGTTGTTAAGTAAATCTGGCTTCCCCAGGTCACATGAACCCAGGACATTGCAACTGTCATAAATATGAAGTAGTTGCCAAGCATCAGACTTTTGATCACGTGACCATGGGGATGCTGCAACTGTTATGTGAAAAAAATGGTCATAACTCCCATTTTAACACTGTTGTAAACATCAAATGCTCTCTAAAGAACTATCATAAGTTGAAGACTATCAGTATAGGTCAGGGGTAGGCAACCTTGGCTCTTTTATGACTTGTGGACTTCAACTCCCAGAATTCCTGAGCCAGCCAAGCTGGGAGTTGAAGTTCACGAGTCATAAAAGAGCCAAGGTTGCCTACTCCTGGTATAGGTCTATCATGGGGTTGTTTGTTTGTTTGAGCTCAAAACTGCAGATTGATGTGGGAAGTGTCCAAAACAGGGAACAAATTTCTGGTTACGCTATTTTTGCCTAATATGTGTCAGTTCCTCTCCACTCCCAAATACATTTCAGAAGTCTCTTGAGAAACCTCAGAGAATCTATCTTTATAGGGTCCCCTTGAGAATTGGTGCTGAATTTATCTACAGGACACAACTGGGCGGAGTAGTTATTTCTGACTTAAGTGAACCCATTCATCTGTTTCATTATTTCCCTGTGAAAGAACAGACTGAGAAGTTAATTGAGTAACTAATTCTGAAAGAATTATCCAAAAAGCCAAGTGAGTTTCTCCTGCAAAGCTTTTTAATCTTTTTTTTTTTTTTTTGTAAGCTAGAGGACAAATCACGTTGGAGGAAGCTTGGGGATTTACAGTACATTATATCATTCCAAAATCACACTTTTTTAAAAAAAAAAATGAATACGTTTTATGAAAGGATAGCTTTCTATTGACAGCCTTGAGTAAGAGAGATAAAAGCCTCTGGATTATAAACATGTCCTACAAATTAGCCCTTTTGTGTTATTTGAAATGAAGATTTTAGTATAGCAAACGCGTGTTAAAAGGAACGCCATTATTTAAACAACAATTATTTAAATGTCAGGGCACTGCAAAAAGATATGTTTGTCACTGCAGTGTAGGAAAGAACAAGGCAAAGGTGATTTGGGTTCCTTCCTATTTTTTCCAATAGTTAGTGGGGACATTTAATTTCTCTGAAGATTTGTTTGTCTCAGCCTCTTGTGGGAGAGAAAAAAACAGTTGTGACAAGAAAAGAAAAGCCATAGGATCCATCACCATTCTCTCTGTAAGAGACCTAGTTGATACAGCACTCTGTTTCACATCCATCTATCTATCTGTCTGTCTGTCTGTCCATTCATTTATTAGATTTTTATCTCATCTTTATTACTTTGTAAGTAACTCAAGATGGCAAATATTTCTAATACTCCTTCCTCCTCCTATTTTTCCCACAACACCCCTGTGAGGTGGGTTGGACTGAGAGTGATTGGCCCAAAGTCACTCAGCCAGCTTTCATGCCTCAGTAGGGCTAGAACTCACAGTCTCCTGGTTTCTAGGCCAGCACTTTAACCACTACGCCAAAGTGGCATTATAATTGACACGGTAAAAAGACATCAGAAAGCCAAAATTTCAGTTACACCTTAAAGCATTGTGTGTTTTGGGACACTGGTGGTAAGATAATTTTACCTCCTGTTACTACTAAGCTGAGTTACATCTGTGTGCATATCTTTGTGGGAGATGTGTAAACCTCCTCTCTGCCATTGTCATCCAATGGCAGAAAACAGCTGTCCAGAGCTAATTTATTTCCTAATGCTGCAGCAATGTTAATTCATAATTTACACTGGTAATTCGAGCTATTATTAATTTCAGATGGCGTAGGGCAAGCCTAATTAAAATATGACACCAATTGCCACACATATGTACCAAGGACTACCATTTAAAATTAATGGGAATATTAAGTGTGACACTGGTCTCAGACATCCTTTGCTCAGTAATTACAACATTATGGCTGCAAATATTTGATAAAAGAAGATGGAGTGGACTGAAAGAAATAAATAAGACAATGCTATCTGTCTTCTTCTTTTAAACCGACCTCTTACAATCCTTACAATCCTTCTCTTCTTCCTCCCTTTCTTCCTGCACCAGTTTTCTTGATTCCATGTTTGATTTATTCTCTTCTGATGTCAGAGATCAGAAGGCTGTTTTGAATAAGCGGACAAAGCTGTGGTATACAGCCTGTAATTTTTACCCCTCGCTACACACAGCTTTGCTCACAAAAACAGACAGATCCGTTGCGTTAACCAGTTAGAACTGTGATGATTAAAATATGAGCTCTATACAGTCTTTGATATATATATCTAGAAGCATGAAGGTGAAAACACCAGCCTGAAGATGACGAATGTGACTTCGTCGAAACGTCACCAAGACACTTCCAATTCTACATGGGAGAAAACCCGAATAACCAAAGACCTACATACAAATACCCGCGACTCATAGCTGACAAAGTGAGAAAGAACCTGTGGCCTAGAGGTTAATACATCTGCCTAACATGCAGACAGCCCAGGTTCGAATCTCAGAAGGGTATGTCTGGTTGAAAAGAACTAAAAATTCAAGCGGTCTGTGCGAACGGAGTGTGTGGATGTATGTATTTGGGGAGACTTTGGGGAACTGTTGTACTATATTAAAAAATATTTTGATTCTGATGCATTTTAACTCTCTACACCAGACCTGGGCATTTTACAGTCCCTGGGCCTCATCCTGCCCTTTGGCTGTGCTTGTCCAGATCATGTGAAGTCAGTCAGAAATTAGAAATCAAATGTGAATAAGGAATGCTATGCACGCAATACAACTGCATGGCTTTTATTTTGAAGGCAACTATTTTTTTTGGTCAATTTATGTATGTGTATGTGTGTGCCTGCACACCTTCTTCAGCCCTATTGGTTTAGCCCTCCATAACAGACTCAGTCCCTCAGGTTTTACCTTGGAAAAATTAATTGCCCACCTCTGCTCTACGCCAATGAGGATGCGCATGTGCACATTTCCACAGCCCAGTGGCAAATCCATCAAGGTCCACTAGTGGGCCGCAGCCCACTGGTTGGGGACCCCTGACTTAGATGATCTATCCAGGGTAAAATTGCAGTCCAAACAGAAAGCAGAAGCAACTTTGTTTTGGAGAAGGGGAGGATTAAAGTCAACCTGCATAAGGCCCCAAAAGGCCCATCAGAAGAGAATAACCCTTTTTGTTGTCTTTGCAACAACCCCTATTCTAGAAAATGTGTCTTTCTCGGATTACCTGTGTTCAAAAACGTGCCCCAAGTGTGTTTCTGGAGTGTCGTTAATGTGAGTTAAGAGATCTTGAGGAGACACTCTTCGTCTCATTTGAACTTCATCAAACTAGGATTTCCTCTGCTGTAGATGAAGGGAATTGTTCCACTCAGCATCTTCAAAGAAATCATCAGGCTTGGAACCTTTTGCACACAGGTATTTGGTGGCACATTGCCAAGCCAGGCTGCCTCCGAGCTCATTCAGACGCCCTGTTTCTGTTTTCCACATCAAGAGACTCAATAAATGAAGAGATTGTTTTTATAGTAGAATCTAGAAATACCGATAGCGTTGGTGCTGCATGAAAGAGGATAGCTGGCGATAAGTTACTTTCTCTATTTTCTATATTTTACCACCTTATTGCATTGCTACATAGTCTAGCTCTGTTATCTTTCTTTCTTTCTTTTTCTTTCTTTCTTTCTTTTTCTTTCTTTCTTTCTTTCTTTCTTTCTCTCTCTCTCTCTCTTTCTCTCTTTTCCCCTTCTTTCCTTCCCTCCCTCCCTCCCTCCTTTCTCTCTTTCTTCTTACTTTCATTCCCTCCCTCCCTCTCCCTTCTCCCTCCTTCCCTCCTTCCCTTCTTTTCTTCTATCCTTCCTTCCTTTCCTTTCTCCCTCCCTCCTGTCTTTCATCCTTCCTTCCTTTTCTCCCTCCCTCCCTCCCTCCCTCCCCCTTCCTTTCTTCGCTTTCTCCCTCCCTCCTTTCATCCTTCCTTCCTTTTCTCCCTCCCTCCCTCCCCCCTTCCTTTCTTCGCTTCCTCCCTCCCTTCCTCCCTCCCTTCCTTCCCTTTCTCCCTCCCTTCCTGTCTTTCATCCTTCCTTCCTTCTCTCCCTACTTCCCTCCCTCCTTGCTTCCCTCCCTCCCTTCCTTTCTTCCTTCTTTTTCCTATTTGGCCCTCTCCAGCTTCAGGATTCATGAGTGAAGATGAATACTTGGAGATCACGAGCATCACCCGGGAACAATCGGGGGAATATGAGTGCAGTGCCTCCAACGATGTTGCAACTCCTGTTGTGCGGAGAGTAAAAGTCACCGTAAACTGTGCGTAATATTGAATTTTTTTTTACCCTGCAGCTCAGAGGAAGGAGGATTCACTCCTTTTGGGGGGTGAATATTCTGTTTAATCTTAACAAAGACATTCAGATGCTTTACCTTAAATCTAGCCATTACTCAATCTAATCAAGAATGTTAGCTGGATATTTTAAGAGATTTAATCTAGGACCTTATTCATGAAAATGACGGGGTCCACCACTGAGCTAGTATGCCTTCTTAGTAGCTATTATGCCTCCTCACAGTTTGGGCAACTGCTAAGAGAGAGTAAACAATTATATTACAAACTGAAGTATGTATTCTTTTGTCCTTGGTAACTTTTATTTTCATTCAAAAAGTTAAAATACAAACTCCCCAAAAATGAAAATAAAATTTACAAAAACACAACAAAATTAGACAAAAATATTTTTAAAATGTGGATTAAAAGGACAAAAAACAAAAACATACATATATTTGAATAGTAGCAAATATATTGAAACAATGATAACCTCCTCCCCACCCAAGAAAGGATACCTGCCCTAAAATTCATGCTTCACAAACTGAAGCAAGTATTCTAGGACAGATATGCTTTCTCAAACTGGACAGTCCACATTGTGTTGGGATCACAATTCCCAAGGTGTCTTGTTTACTGAATTGATAGTCTTCCTTTGCACACAGCTTTTCCATTCATGCAGGCAAACCTACATTCATTTAGAGGTTAACTTAACCCTTATGACCTTATATATTTGCTATGGCATTGACTTATGGGTCCTTATACACATTACCATCCTCAGGATGCACATTCTCTTGTACCCGTAGCAAAAGTATGTGAAAACAAATGATGTGCTGTCACTCTGAAGGCTACAGATGTTTGTGGCCAAAATGTATTAATTGTTCCCTGCCTGGGAGAGTGCGGATTGTATATATTGTTGAATATATCACCACAACTGGAAGTTCTTTCTTTCAGATGGGCTATAAAGCAATTTTATCAGGTTCTGGGCATTACTTTCATACCCCAGATATTTTCTAAGAGGACCTTGCAAATGAAACACAAATGGCTTGTGGTGAGGTGCCCAAGAAGGAAGGAAAGTTTTTGAAGCAATAGCAGTGTTAAAATAATAATAATAATAATAATAATAATAATAATAATAATAATAATAATAATAATAATAATAATAATAATAATAATAATAATAATAATCCATTCCCTAGTTACTTCTTCTTCTTCCTTTTGTGCCATATCCATTATCGGACGTTGGTGATCATGTTGGTGATCCTGTTTTTATCAGCAGCTGCACGAAAAAGTGCTGCTGAGTTTTGTCCAAACCAGTCCCTTAGATTTTGAAGCCACGATGTTCTTCTTCTGCCTTAACTTGTTCCTTTCTCTGCAGACCCACCATATATCTCAGACACTAAGAACACTGGTGTGCCAGTGGGTCAAAAAGGCATCCTTCAGTGTGAGGCCTCTGCAGTTCCATCAGCAGAATTCCAGTGGTATAAAGATGACAAACGGTACATGAGTTGCTCAAGGGTGGCGTGGTGGGACGGGTCGTCACAGTTGCTAAAACAGAAACTACCTACTCCTTTAAAATCTTGTAATTCTGCTACCATGCAAACAGAGGAATATGGAGGAAAAAGGCAGTATGTGTGTTTGAATGCATGTATGTGTGTACGTGCACACGAACTGGTGTCCATCCTAAAGAATCACAAACGGTGCGGTGGCTCAAACCCACTCGGTTTGTCAGCTGGGAAGCCAGCAGCCCAGGTTCAAGACCTGAGTGCTACGTGATGGGGTGAGCTCCCGTCCTCACTTCAGCTCCTGCCAACCCAGCAGTTCGAAAGCATGTCAATGTGAGTAGATAAATAAGTACCACCTTGATAGGAAGGTAGCAGTGCTCTGTGATGTCATGCTGGCCACATGATCACAGAAATGTCTTCGAACAGCACTGGCTCAATGGCCGTGAAACGCAGTTGAGCACCTTCCCCTATAGTCAGCAGTGACCAGCGGAGTAAAATCCGCAGGGATTCCTTTGCCTTTTTTAATATATAGAATCACACAATTGGAAATGGCTGTTTAGCCCATCGAGTCTAACCCTGGCTTATTTGAGGGAGACTGACAGATTCCTGTTAGCTTTTGCACGAAGCCATCCGACAGACAGGAGCTAGTCACCTCCTTCAGTAAATCTCCTTCTCCTAACACATCCAATCTTTTGCGTTCTCCACTTACTGCTATTTTCATTCATCACTGATCAACCTGGTCTTGCTCCTTTCTGCCTTCTCTATTCCCTTTTTGTTCTCCTTGCTAGCAAAATTTAAATTGTAAGTGGTTTGGACTTGAGATTTTTTTTTTTAACCAATTATAAGTTGTTCTGTAAAGAAGATTGATGGCGCTGGCATTTGAAAGCGATTCTATCAAATGGGAGGTGCTCTGTAGCACTTTGCACATATCTTTGGCACAAAAACATGATTTTTTCTGTAAATGGTCTGCAAATATTTTGAATCACAGCTCTCGTTGTCAGGATTCATGCCAGAGATTCTCTGACACAATTCTTCCAGGATTCAGACATAGAGACTATTTATCACAGGTCCCAAGGCATGAAAAGGCAGGATAAGATCACTGTTATAGTTCTTACAGTGGATTCCTGTAGCTCTCACAGCAGATGCTCAGAAATTGGGTCCTTCTCCCCTCTTAATGATCACAAGGAGACAAGACTACAGAGATCCATCAAAAAACAACTATAAAGATATTGTCCATCTGATGAAGATATTATTTTAAGTTATCAGTCATGTGGCAATCTCCAATTATGGGATCATTTCATCAATTATCCTAGTAGCAGACTACTAGGAGTTGTTCTAAAGCAAGCTAGGGCAGTGTAAGATAAAACAAGGGAACATAGAAAGAAACCAGATAAGTGAAAATAAACAAAACAAAAGCAACACATAAGCAATAGCAATAGCAGTTAGACTTCTATACTGCTTCACTGTGCTTTACAGCCCTCTCTAAGCAGTTTACAGAGTCAGCATATTGCCCCCAACAATCTAGGTCCTCATTTTACTGAACTCGGAAGGATGGAAGGCTGAGTCAACCTTGAGCCAGTGAGGATTGAACTGCTGTCAGCTGGCAGTCAGCAGAAGTAGCCTGCAATACTGCATTCTAACCATTGTGCCACCTCAGCTCACATAAGAATATCAGCAAAATTATCTACTGAAGGAAATGGGATGAAGGAACTTGGATGGTGAAAAAGGGATAGAACAGAAGACCTTCGTAACTGTGAAGTAAATATAGTTGTCTAGTGGTATTTTGCTCCTTTCATCTCCAGATCTTTTTTGGGAGGTGATCTCTTATACATTCCAGCTTGAACTGATACATGCTGGGTGGCCATCTTGTAGAAGGTTGAATGTTAAATGGGGATGGAACAAATTAGAGTCCGGTGGCACCTCACAGAAAGGGACTTAGAACTAGATGTTAGTTGGATGTCTGTTTCCCCTACTAACACTGACTGGAACCTACGTAGAGGAAGGAGGAGAACCATTGGGCCTCCTGCTCCCAACCCCTAAATTGATCCAGAAAGATACTATGATCTCTAAGGGTACTGAGGAAGATCAGAATGGATGCATGTATTCCCACCATCTCAGGAGATCAACAAGTGTTATCAATACCATTACCATAACTAGGTTTAAACCTTGGTGAAAAAGATCGGAAATGTTCTCCTGAACTAGTTGACTGATGCCCAGGCTACAAAGTGGCAGGGATTTTTTTCTTTCTTTCAATGAACTCATCTCCTGGAATGAGACTAGACCCCTGGCTAAACCAGTTGCAATATATATTTTAAGCGAAAGCTCTTCATAAAGGGATTGTGTGAACATGGAAAATTACATCAGCTTTGTCCCCAAGCGAGGAGGCTCGGATCTAGTTACAGCGCTCAAATACATTAAATTATAGGTAGCAATACAATTTACAAACAACCGCAGCAGTCTTTTATAACTATTTTATCTCCACGGGCGAACTTGTGACCGTTCTTTCTTTCGTGTACAGCTCAGCGATTGGAATCCGTGCATTAATAAAAGAGAATCTCTATTGCTCAGGTTTGAACCACGGAGTCCTTGGTGCTTGCCGAGCTTGGCTGTGCATTGAAGATCTTACTTGGTCAGGCAGCAAAATGTTTGAGCTCAGAGAGCACCAAGGACTTCGCAATTCCCACATCGGCAGGACTGGGTTTCTGCATTTGGCTCTATAATGTGGAATTGCCTTTGAGATTATTATTGATTGACTTAAACTATTTGTACAGAATGAACCTGCTCAGTTATGCACCAGCTGCTTTTTCACACATCTTTTGCATCTGTTTTTAAAATATCTGCCCTGATGATCTGGAGTGCTGAAAAGAACAGTTCAGATACTCGTGTTATTATAACATCAAGGCTAGATGACCTTGATAATAATCATCTCCATTTGATGTCCCTATTGTCCATGCATGATTTCAGGATTACCCACATAGATGGGTCTTCTTTTCAATGATCTGTTTTCTTCAGAATGACCTGTCCCTTCCCATTACAGGATCAGGACCCAGCTTTGGGATACTTTTGATAATACCATGCAGAAAAATATTCCCTTCATATTTTTCTATCAAGTCCCATTCAGTTTCACAAGAGAACTGAAGTCTGATGGATGAGTAGAGAATGGTGGCTTTGCAGATATTTATGGAGAATGAATGAATCTCTCTCTCTCTCTCTCTCTCTCTCTCTCTCTCTCTCTCTCTCTCTCTCTCTCTCTCTNTGTGTGTGTGTGTGTGTGTGTGTGTGTGTGTGTGAATGTCCTGGCTTTTCTTTTTATAGACTTGTTCCTCCCAAAGTCTACAGCTTATGTGGCTTCCCACACTTCAAACAAATGTGGAAAAAAAAGTCATAAAGTTGCAATACTTTCTATGGAGCTTTTAGGATTAGGAAGTATGGTTACTTTGAAAGCTTTTAGAGAAGTGGAAAGCTGTAATGCTAGCCTTTGCCACCTCCAACAAATTCAAAGGTAATACTAAGGAAAATCGGAAAGAAATCTGAAACTATGCTGAGGAAAAAGTAGGAAGCCAGGGAGAAAAGGAAACTTAGAAATTGCAAGGGAGACTCTGCACTGGTTTCAGCCATTGATTGAAACCTTAGGTTCTTCTATCAGCTTTCCCCAGCAACTAATCACACTCATTATTGGGTTAATAATAATTGGTATTATTATTTCATTATTCTATTACTACTCTCTTATACTCTTGTTACAAGCTATTTGAGTTTTTTCTCAAATGAGAAATTATATACAATTGAAGGAGAAGAAGAGGCTTAGCTGGAAGGAGGGGTTAAATGTGCTATCAATTTAGAGTCACTGTGTTGCCACAAGAGACCCAGGTCCAGACAATTCCATTCACCCTTATCTGGTACCAGTTTAAGCTTTGACCATTAGTCAACTAGATTCTTGTATTAGAAGTAGCAATAATAAACTCTTTTGTGCTTTGAACTCAACAAATGCTCTTGGTTATTTGGGCCTGACAACTGTGTTAATAAATGAAATATGTGTGTCTGTATCTTTGGGGTTTTGCTTGTATGTGTGTGCCTGACATTGTAACTCCTGTGTTTCAGGCTCCTTGAAGGACAGAAAGGGCTGAAAGTGGAAAATAAGGCCTTCTTCTCCCGTCTTACTTTCTTCAATGTGTCTGAGCAAGACTATGGAAATTATACTTGTGTTGCCTACAACCAACTAGGAAACACTAATGCTAGCATTATTCTCTATGGTAAGTAACAAATAAGTTGATGGATTCAGCTGGCACCGGGATTCATAGAACTGTAGAATAATGTTGGAAGAGGCCCCTTAGGTCATTCCCTCTTTGTGATAGGAATCCAAATTAAAACATACATGACAGATGGGTCTCTAGTTGAATATACCCACGGAAGGAAAGTTCAACATCATTCTGTGTAATTGGCTCAATCATCAAATTATAAGTGAAGGGAAGAATAGGTAAATCAAAGAAGGACCAATTTATATGGAATGCTATATAAAATCAGAACAGATCAAGACACAAATCCATGTAATAAATTATGAGATTGGTCAACACTTAATAACTTCCCTCTTATCATCTTACGCTTAACCTGGCGAGGATAACTATATATTTACTTCATTATTTCTGCAGTTTACACTCTGACATAAGATCTCAGTGGCTTTGTCAATGTAGGGCTTGTAGTAAAGACAATTCTGAAATACCAAATGTCTCCTCCAGCATAGAGAGTGTAGGAACAAAGCAGCCTCTTGATGGGACAAAATCAGTTTGTAGACCACTCCTTCCTTTAGACATTTTTGCAATATCACAGATATTATAGATAATGACTTCACCATCCCATTTTTTTCAAACCATCATATACTCCATCGTCTTTCTCACTGATTTTAGAACTTTTATTATGGTTGTGCAGATATCTCCCAAGAAGTAATCATTAGATTGTTATATTATATTGATATCTTATCAGTGTGTTTGTAGCAGTTGAACAGTGTCTTCGTTCAAGTCTTTTCTTTCATCCCAAAATAGCCTGCAGGGATTTTATTATGGGGATAAAATTAGGAGGCACGCTGGCTGAGCAGCTTTGAACTCTCCTAAGAAAAGGCAAGATGTAAATGCAACAAAAGAACCATTTTTTTCTTCTGCATCATTTCTGAACATCCGGCCTAAAAAAAGAATCTCTCAATTCGCCTTGATTTTTTTTCCCTCTGAAAGTAGCACACAAGGATGTTCTCCAGTTTCAACGTGAAAGTTGTAGGACTAATTTTAGTAAAAAAAATCAATTTTGATTACTGGAATTATTGTTCCTTTCCATTCAATGAAAAAGAAGAGTATGACGAAAGAAATCTGATTCCATGGGCTACTACACATATAAAATAGCTGAAAAAAATAACCCGAACCTATGGACCATCTGCAATCAAGCCAATGTCGGAAACTGTTGCTTGCCAATCTGACCCCATGAACGAGAAGGAAGCTACTTCATAGATATCATCTAAAACAGGGGTGTCCAACCTTGGGAACTTTAAGAGCTGTAAAGCTGTAGACTTCAACTCCCAGAATTCCCTAGCCAGCAATTCTGGAAGTTGAAGTCCACATGTCTTAAAGTTGCTAAGGTTGGGCATTCTTAATCTAAAGGCTCAGAGTTTTTTTTTCTTTTTTAACTGTTCTCTGTTCTGGATTTAGCTGGTCTTTTCAACTTATACCAAAACCCTTCCTCCCCTAGTCTCTCTCTGTAAAGTACCAAGCTGTGTGCTTAAAAAAGGATCTTGTAGCTTTAGATCATGGGTGAAATGTTTCTGTTAATGATAACGTCAACAAATCTATTTAAGGACATAGGACATTGTGGTGTTTTCCCCCCACCTCCCACCCCAACCTTTCTCTCCTGGAAAGATTATTCCCATAATGTGAATTCTTCACCTTTTTGAAAGTTCTACTCTGGACATCTCATTTCTACCAGGTATTTCCAACCTCAGTTCTAGAATTAGGTCTTGCAAAATTCCTTTCTTCCAGGCTTAGAAAACCAAGCAGAGATACTAACAGCAAGGAATATCAAATCTTGATGTCTTCTCAAAAATAAAAGCAAAAATCTCACCAAGCCTTTCCTGGTATTGCCACGCTGAAGCACCATCTGTTAAGTGAGGCGTTTGAGAATAAACAACCGAAGCATCTCCACAATTCCAGGCGGGCTTCCAAGTTGTGCTTTCTATTACTTCAATATATAATAAAAAAATTGACTATAGCAAAAGAAGGTGGGGAAGAACTTTGAAGTCTTACCTAGAAACCATTTTCCCCACATGCCGGAGCTCTGATTAAAGTGATGGATCCATCTGACACCACTCACAGCCAGAGACAGCTCTAATTGCTTGTCTTATTTGTTATGTTTCTTCGTGTTAGAGAACGAGCATGGCTGTTCACTGTTCATGCCCACTAGAAGCTGGGGTGAGCAAATCCTCCAGAGCCTTGTTTCTTTTGGCTTTCACGTGATCTCAAGCCAGACTTCTTGTCCAGAATTCTGAGGTTTTCTATCTACTGACTATTCCAAGATGGGCTTTTATATAAAGCTTGAGGTTCACCACAAGGAGCATAAATGGTCCAAAAGCTTTGTCCATAAAGATGACAATATTGTTCTTGGCAAATGAGATTCACAAGAACAAGGAAGAGATAGGGTACAAGATGGGACCAAAAGAGCTGTGGTGGTGGTGGTGATGATGATGATCATGATGATGATCATCATGATCTCCGTTCAAACATGTCTGGCTCTTGGCGATTCTGTGCGCTGAGCCTCTCCACATCTTCTGATCTTGCACGACTTCTGTCAGTTTTTCTATGTTCTGGCTGGTGGTCAGCTCTGATGATATCCAGCCACTGTGTTCTTGGGTTTCCTTTTATCACTAACTCTTCCAAGCGTAACCCCAGACATTTCACTAGAAGGCAAAATCACAAAAGAGCTGTAATGTCTCTCTACTCTGATCAAGGAAGATGTAGTCACTTATCTAACACAATCAACATTCCTATTAAGAATGTGACAAAAATAGTTTAAAAACCTTCTTGATCATCAACATGATGCAAGATTTACCCATGTCTTACATCCCTGTCTATGTATCTTTATAGCAGCTGGTATGAACATGGAAAACTACTCTTTATTGAACTACCCAAGAATAATCAGATTGACCACCCTTTCCAATTATTGTATCTTAGCACTTATTCTACCAGCGCATTGTACTATACATTTCTTCTTGCATTCAAAATTCCAGTCAAAATTCCTTCTGAATGCCTACATTAGATTTTCTTGGAGTGTCCTTCAGGACTATTACCTGTGTTTTGACCAAATGTGGTTATTAATCAGGACCAAACTGAAAGATATCAATAGAGGAGGGAATAAATTTCTCATAAGATAATAGTTTTAATATCTTAGCAAAAAGAAACTGACTGTGAATGGAGTTGGGACAGGGAAGTTTGTTCAACCTTGTCACTTTGGATGTTTGGATGCTTAGTGTCTTCCTTACTCATATCTTTCCTTCATGGGAGGAAGTATAGTTAGAAAGAGGCTACCTTTAAAAAAGAAATAAGATTTATTAGCTTTTTCTCGGATGCTACCATTTCCTACATAAGTAAAGGTAGTGGGAGAACTAAGTGTGCTAAATCTCACATTATTTAAATAATAATGGGTGGAAAGATATTTTCACCAGCATTGTTAATATTATTGTGGCCAACATTGGATGGAAAATCAGTATAGAAGCACAGGAATTATATAGTCTATCATCCCTCTCCTCTGCCTCTGCTCATTCTTCTCTCCCTTCCTTGTTCATTTATCTCAGCCCATTTCAATTTTAAAAAAGAGAAAATTAAACCTACAAGGCAACTATAGCAAAGCACATGTAATGCTACCACAGGCCAGCTGAAATTAGGCAACTGAATGAAAGTCATAAAGTTGGCTTTGGGAAGTTACTAATAGAAGGAAACTGATGGTCAAAGGGAATCAGTGCAATTGCTTCCAGTTGGTGATGAATAAGATGCAATATTAAATATTTTTGGTTGGTCTTAAACAATGCAAGCAGGCAGAAGGAGAGGAAGCAATTGGAAATATCTGCAGTGGCGTGAAACCATGCAAACAATGGGATAGTGTACCCATCTGTACATTAGGAGCTAAAATGATGTATAATGCTGATTAGTTAACTCCTGATGACTTCTATCCCATCCCATCATCATAGAGTTGTACCATACAGCCTTGCAAAAATTGTGGGACCAAATATACTTCCAGGATGAGTGGCATTAGTTATCTAATGTTATTCCTAGTTAGAAAGTGCCAATTCTTAGTTCATCAATCAATATCAGTTTCAATTTAGACTTCCCCGGTTTAAAAATCAGTGTTAGATTTTTCCTTCTTAGAGCAGAGATAATGTTTGTAATGGCCTTTTCATCAATCTTTCCACTGCTTTGGGAAAAGAAGGTCACCACTCAAATGCAGATGGAGAAGACCTTGTAGAGAGAAGTTAGAGCAAGCATAGACCCTTCCTGTTGCATCTGCGATTCATGCAGTAAGGAATAGGTGGAGTCCAGGGATCATCCCATAGACCCCACAAATAACCACACTAATGGCAACAGGCAATGAGAGGGTTGGACAAAACTTTGCACCAGCATTTGGATCAGGATAGACAGACTTGGACTCTGGTTTACAGATGATCCCATTATTCATTTTAATGAATGAATATATAGTATCTGTTTCTGGAGCACGTTCCAAACTAAAATAGTCATCATTATGTAACTATGATGGTCCATTTTTTAAAAAATCTATTATATAAAAGTCGAGTGTTTTGGACTGATTCTGTAAAATATCAGGGACATACAGTAAAAGACATTCTGAAGCTTGGAGCAGTAATTGTATCAGTTGAAGAGATATATGTTAACTGAATGCTCTACAGAGAAAATATACATTATTGTCTAAAGAGAGTGGGCAGCTATACTATGGGCTTTGAGCAATTGTGGATCAGCCCATGACTGTAGGGAAGATGATCTCCTGAGAACATGTTTTCAAATGTAGGAGAGTCTGTAATACGTGTTCTCATGGCCAGCTAAAACTTATCCAGTGATCCCAAAGAGATGAGAAGAATTCATACGGATTATCAACTAAGCCACAATAAGGAACGTTTATGTAAAATGCGAAGCCTTAAGCCATGATTTAGAACCATAGTAGGTCAGTCTTAGTTTGATGGGTAACTGAAGGACAACACTTTTCAAGAGAATGCTTTATGATGCTTCAGCTATGTGTTTTTTTCTGAAGTTGGCATCCCGGATAGTGTACTTGTTTTATTGCCTGTTTCTGGATCCTGTCTCTACATGCTTCTGCTTTTATCTGCTTTCCCATGGACCATCTTACAAACACACAATGTATCTTACCAATTCCTTTCCCGACTATATCAGTAGTGTAGAGAGCATTGTGACTCTCTTTCTTACGGTTGTTTAAATTACCCCCAATTAACTTTATCTATAATAAAGGAACTATGATCAATTTGTGAACTGAAAAGAGTTCTATCCTGGTCTAGCACAGTGGACAAAATTTGGTCCCCTGTCCACAGTCTGACAGTTAAAGTCATACCACCGTGCCTTTTATATTGTCCTGGTTTAATCTTGGTGTAGAAATTATTCTTCCTCTCTTTACCAGTTTTGTGCAACACCTGTTAACTACATGTAACATAAATATTTGCTGAAATGGAATAGAGTCTTGTATCCCTTATTCATTTTTATTGACCAAGCAGTTGTAGTCCTACGCAATGAATAATGCATTGCTTGAGAAGTAATATAATTTAGGTTGGAATTATAAAAGAAGCTAAGCAGAATTGATCTGTGAAAAAGAGGGGGATCATGTTGTGAGCTAGAGATGAAAGGGAGCTTCCCCCCCCCCAAGATGTGTCTACCTTCAGCTCCCAACATTACCAGGTCCCCTGGGAGTTACAGCTCAAAAACATCTGGAGGGACGAGACTTCCTCACAGTCAAGCCAAGCAGACCTAAACTGAAATCCTATCTTAGTCATGAACTTAATACCGTAGGTGATTTTACTGAAGTCATTTGAGCCAATCTTACAGAAACATATTATGGATTATTGAGATAACGAAGAGGCAATCAAAACGCAAAGCAATCAAGGCAATTGCCATGAATACAAAAGTGTAGAAATAGTTTTGTTGTTTTGCCACCCATCTTAGACCTAGCAATGTGATCCTCTTGTTCTTTAGCAAGGGACTCACAACAAGAGAGATCCAGCAGAGCCTAACTTGCAGAGAGCCCAGTAATGAAAGACAAGATGCATCAAAATCGGGTTCTGACGCTAGAGTTTGGAATGAGACATTACATCAGAACACTCTTTGGGGTGTTTGGGTGGTAAGGAGTCAAAATGTGCATTAGATTATTAAGTAGAGCTTCCGTTTTATCTTGATGCCTTCAGTGTACGGGGATTCTTCAGTTAACATGTGAAGATTCTTCAGAAGTCCAGCTAGATTCTTCAGTTAATCATCTTTCTTAATTATGTTGTGGCTGTTACTTCTTTTCCTCCTTCAAGAGAATCCTCAGCTAAATATCAGGTGTGTGATGATGGTGGTTATGACGATGGTGTTGGTGGATTCTGGTTCTTATTTTGAAATTTAATTATCTTTAGGCTTTCGCTTCTACCATAGACTTCTTTCCTAGCAACCAAGTTATTGTTGCAAAGAGGATGGGAAATGGCAGGCTGCCTCTTGTTTGAAACTCCTTGCTTTCTAGTGCCACTTCTCACATTGAGGAGGAAATAAGGAACAGTGAGGAGGCATGCTCAGGAGACAATAAATGAAGATAACAATGGCCTCCAGAAATTTTAAATAATGAATCCTCTATTAAGCTTTTCGTTTCTTGGAAGGAGAAGGGGCAAAGAACTATTTTTTATCTTTGGAGATGCTTCCAGTTGATGGTTTTCTTCTCAAGTTAGCTTCTTCTCACTGGGTTGACAGCTCATCAGATCTATAGTCTGTGGTCATCTTCAAAATAGCCAACAAACTTGAAGAATAACAGCAAGAAATCCAAGAACATTTTATGTGTGGTCCTAGAGGTTAGAATTAGAGCAATTTTTTTTTGCAAGGCTGGCATTTTGAATTACATTTCATGGAGTCATCTTCTATTCCTACTTTCTATGCTTCATTGTCCAACAGCACTTGGCATATTTTTTTTTACTTTCCCATCCATTTCAGAGTCTGTCTTCTCTCCTTCTCTCCACATCCTCCTCCTTCATTTCATTTCTTCCTTATACAGCCTATTTTGTGGAGTGCTAATTATGAAGCAATATATTTATTTTCCTTTTTTATCTTTATTTTTTTCTCTTCTATTGTTTCCTTGCCTGGTTTAGAAATAAGTGAGCCCACAAGCTCAACCTTGTTCCAAGGTCAGTATTGTCTTGCTGTATGTCACATCTGCTCGGCCTCCCTTTATTGCAATTCCCCTTCCCCCACCTTTGATACACATTGCCTGTTCCCCTGTTCGATTTGCATGGAGGACTGTACTACTTCCTGCTCGGGGGGGGGGGTGTCAAGAGAGCATACAGTGTGGGATTGGTCTCCTTGTCTTCCATCGTGTCATGTCTGGTCAGCAGTTGAGAGCTACGATATCCAGTTTTTTAGATCTCCTTGTAAAGAATGGATGAAAAATCCCTTTCAAGGATCTAAGGTCATCAAGACTCTGACCCTTTCTCTCTTCCCTCTCCCACCCACCAAATAAAAATAATTCTGGGAATTGTCCCATTACCCAGATGGACTAAAACTAACATAAAGTCCATTAATTAATTACCACTATCAATTAATCAACGGAACAGCTCTCCTCTCAAGAGTTGTCGTTGTTCCATCACTAGAGGTTTTGAAGAAAAGACTGGACAACCATTTGTCCAGGAAGGTATGAGGATGCCTACCTTGGGCAAGCGGTTGGACTAGAAGATCTCCAAGGTCTCTTCCAGCCCTATGACCTTATCATTTAAAGAGACTACTTCATTGATATACTTTTCAAGGTTGTCTCAAAAGTTTTTTTTCCCCTCAAAAGGCAACTGGACTGTTTTGTTTTGCTTCTTATCCAAGAAATTTCATCAGTTGTAACTGTGTCTTGGATGAGAAGCAAAATGCCTTCTTCTTTCTCAAATTAAAAACAAACAAACAGCCCATCTGCCTTTTGAAAAAGCACCTTTGAGGCAACTATGCTCTGAATGACTGAGAATCTCCATAGACACATTTCAGGGTTCTTCTGAGAGAGCCACAGGTTGAAACCTCTGATAAAACCAGGTGAGATTTGCAGAGTAGACACATCTAAGAATTATGCTGGTTGGAAGAATTTAACATTTCCAACTTCTTATTCTTTCTGTTCTTAGAGAACGTCCTTGCTCAAGGTGGAGATTGACGTGTGTGTGTTGGGGAAAGACTTCGGACCTATTAGCTGGATTTGATTTTCTGGTTCCCCTTAAAGGAGCATGTGGAGGCCAGCATGCACACACCTAGACTTATTCTACTTGTAATGAATGTGTGTGAAGCTCTGTACCATTTCGAGTATGCTGTAAATATTCGTTGAGGTATTCCTGTGCCATCTGGGGTGCTGAAGAGATCAGCTGCTCCCTCATCTGTGTCCTAGTAACAGAAACAAAACAATGCCTTGGAAATAAATATTGAAAATGGAAAGAAATAGACAACACAGTTGTTGGCCTGATGAATAGAGGATGGGATTCAGTAGAAGGAGATGTGGGACTGGCTGGAAGGGGTCTCAAGTTGTACTACATAGACATAGATGATAGACAGAGACAGTCGGAGACAGACATGACCTCTGGCAGAAAATCATGGCTCAGATCTAGATGTTTAAAATGGTTAACTTTAAAGAAAAACAGAACAGAACATTTACAGCTCAGGGATGAACTGTGGGGTCCCTGATGCCCTCTGAGTCTGGTGGTTTTCTTGTAGATATTTCATTATCCAGCTAGGTAACATCATCAGTGAATCACTTTAGAACAGGGGTAGGCAACCTTGGCTCTTTTATGACTCGTGGACTTCAACTCCCAGAATTCCTGAACCAGCTTGGCTGGCTCAGGAATTCTGGGAGTTGAAGTCCACGAGTCATAAAAGAGCCAGGTTGCCTACCTCTGCTTTAGAAGAACTCTTCCAAGCTCTTAGAAGAACCGAAGATGCTACCTAGTTGGATAATGAAACATCTGCAAGAAAACAACAACAACAACAAAAAGTTAAATAGCAGAAATGCAGGTAATATGAGTCATCTTAGCCAGATCCTCATCCTATTTCTCTTCTTCTTCAGACCACCGTTAGATCCCATCCTTGATTGTCAGAAAACAAATGTGGTTTGTCTATCAGTCTGCATCCCTTAGCCCCTTTGCAGAAACAAATATTGATTAGGCAGCTGCCTCATTCTGAAAGAAAAGAAAAAAAAAGAGCTGATTTATTAACTCATTTTTCTTTCTTTCTTTCTTTCTGTTTCTTTTTTTTCCCCTCCCTTCTGCATGGCTTCCTTATGTGTCTCCTCATGCTCCTTACATTCTGCCATGTAAGTATCCCTGGCATCTATTCCAGATATTATGATTTGGATGGGAAATGAGTGTTCAAAGGCTTAAAGCAGGGGTCCTCAAACTTGGCCACTTTAAGACTTGTGGACTTCAACTCCCAAAATTCCCCAGCCAGCCATGGCTGGCTGGGGGATTCTGGGAGTTGAAGTCCACAAGTCTTAAAGTAGCCATGTTTGAGGATCCCTGGCTTAAAGGGAAGAGGGTGGTCAGAAAAGACTTGAGAAAGAGAAGCGACGGGACGAAAACGTTTTGCTGGACCATCCAAAGGAGGCATATTTTTTTGGGAATCAATTCATGCAAGGGTGGAGGGACCAAAATCCATTACAATTTTAGGTTTGGTCTTAGGTCTTAAATTTCCTTTTGCATAGGCTTTTTTATCCTTATTCTTACACACTTCCCTTCTAGTTTAATGTGAAGGTACCACTTACCTAACATGTCCAAGCCACATCAGGTGTTTCTCAACCCCAAAATTTCTGTTGTTAAGGGATATATTTGTTAAGTGAGCTTTGCCTCATTTTACGACCATTCTTGCCAGAGTCGTTAAGGGAATCACTGAGGTTGATAATTAGTCACCCGATCGTTAAGTGAATCCTGTTTCCCCCATTGACTTTGCTCGCAAAAGAAGGTTGCAAAAGGGGATCACGTGACCCTGGGACACTGCAGCAGTCATAAATATGAATTGGTTGCCCAAGCCTTTGAATTTTGATCACCTGATCAAAATTCGCAGGAGGTTGGACTAGAAGACCTCAAAGGTCCCTTCCAACTCTATTATTATAATTATTGATCTTATTATTGTTGTTGTTGTTAATTGTTATTGCTATTATTATTATTGATCATGAGGATGCCGCAAAAGGTTGTATCTGTGAAAAATGGTCGTAAGGCAAATTTTCTGTGCTGTTGTAACTTTGAATGGTCACTAAATGAATTGTTGTAAGTCAAGGAGTACATGCAATTGTCCAGTTCATTCCCATCACTCCAGAAGATTAGATAGCCACCAAAAAAATGCATCCTGCCCAAAAGACAGAATGCCCCCCATCCACTTTTAACTGCTTTAAAAGGATAATAGGAGAAACAAACTGATTCTATTTACATGGTCGAAAGTCCCTCCTCTCCATATGTAAATATATTTTCAACAGCCATTCAACTCTATCTTAAAATGTGTCTTCCTGTTCAGATTTTAATATGGTCCTGCATGAAATATGAAGAACATAGGCAGAGGGTCACATATTTTTTTAATCCCCAATTTTGAGCTGTTTTCCCTGTGTTCTGAAATGTTTGTTGAGAAGCGTGTTGTTGAGTATAAGTTACGAATGTAAGTTTGTGTAGAGACTTAATCAGCAGGGAGATCTGTCCTAACCCCCATTAGAAAGCTCTAAATGTTGATAGTCCCAATGAACTTCAACATTATTTTGTGTTTTTAAACAATGGCTGGATATTGCCTTTATTGGGTTACCGTTGTATTATTGCATTTTTCTTAATAAAATATGCATCAGCTTGTGTTCCCTGGTGGATAGAAAAGCAATTTCTAAATACATCTAAATCATAATAGAGTGAAGGATGCAAACTGTGTATGCTTGGTTTCTGTGATTGGTTCTATAAATCTGCAAGCTAAACCACAGTGCAAGTAGAATCAAATATGGAACATGAGGGACCCTGGAGAATTATTTTGATCCCCAGGTAGGGCCCCAGAGTAAGTACATTCCCCAGAGCCCAATGCCCAGAAACTGATAGGTTAAATGCCTGAAACTCATTCTGATTTAACTTGGAATGTCTTTCCTTCCACCATTCATTCATCACATTTAATAATCAGAATTCTCTTGGAAGAGAAGTGTTTTTAAAGCTTTTCAAATATCATAACCCTAATCACACAATAAAAAGATCCCTTGCAGAATCCTCACTGGTGTGATCCATTTTGTCCATCTGAGCGGGATTGGTCTTTTGCTATTTCCTGTCAGAGCATGCACAGTCTTGTTGCATTGAGGTAACCCAGGAGTAAACACAGTCGACGGTGGTTTGTATTAAATGGTGGTTTATATTACCCTATCTACAAATATACACTAGAAACAAGACTGTCATTCAGCAAACTCCAATGTATAGCAGTTACAGCAGGAAACGGACGAGAGAGAAAGACTCCAGCAAGGCCTTCCCTTTTATACTCAAGCTCTTAAAGGGATACAAACCCCTGCTGAGTCATTCCTAACACTGCATCATTCATCTCACATTATACAAGCTGGTTAGCTTCTAAATCATTACCTTGATCCTACAACTGGTTTCAGCGCAAAGTCCTCTCGGTTGATTTTTAACAGAAGTGATGGGGAAAAAAATATGTGCAAGATTGAGAGACATTTTACATATTTTTAAGTTAATCCATGAGACTTGATGGAGGACATCAGAGATAACTGTTGTTAATGGAAGCTACCAGTAAGAGGCCAGGTTTTTACATCTGTTAATTCAAATTTTCTCACAGAGCTAAACTTTGTACTTCTTTGCCTTGCAAATTTCAACCCTCTCATTCTCCCCCATGTTTATTCCTGGCAGGAAATACTTATTTAACTGCCAGTGTGGATGAAACCCAATATATAAAATGTTTTTTTTTCTTTTTTGTCACCTCCAGCGATTGGGTGTGAAACATGGAAATATCTTAAGTGTAATGCAGTAGCTATCAGCAATCTTTTTTCCAGAGTTAATGGTGCATGCCCAGTACACATGGAAACTTGATAGTAATATGGCAAAGCTGTCTTTTTAGGAAAACGTTCCATTGTCATTCTCACCGAAATCATTTCTTTTTAAAAATGCTTCTCTGGAACAAATACTGTAAATAGCATTTTAAGGCAAGTTAGTTGCAGGCTGCTGTAAGGTGTTTTGGAATTCTGTTCATATTATTTCAAGATTTAATCTAGAAGATAACCCCAAGAACCAAAGCCCAAACCAAAAGCAAAAACTGCAGCAATGAGGCAGTTGTCTGAATAGGAAACAAACCCAGAAACTATGTTGACTTGTGCAAGACACGATGCATCCTACAAGAAATCCTACAAGAAATAATTGGTGTCTTCCTCTTAATGCAAATCTGGCCTATGACTTCCAATTGTACAACAGTCACTTAATTTACTTATGGTTGCAAAACCTAGTTTGGTTTTCATGACAGTATCAGATCCAGAGTCTCATCTTTCTGGGACCTTCCTTGCCAAATAAGATCTTCTTATCTCCTGCTTTTTTGGATTCCCTCGTTTCACAGTCTCCCTTTGAGGTTCCACCAATTCTGGTTGAAACAGAGCTTTTCCTATTCCATTTGGAGATCTTTCAGATTTCCAGCCCTGAATCATTTAAATGAAGGTGTTGCCATTCAAGACAACAACACCACCAACAACAACAGTTTGCCTGATTGCTGTCTCACAATACTCATCAAATCACCTTATTAGCAAACATAGAATTGCACCAAGCTCTTAACATCTCAAAGGGATAATTAGGCTAAGGATAATGTAATCATCAGTGCCAAAGCCCATCCGTGACAAGGATTAAGTAGAGTTATTTGGGAGGCTTTTCTGATAGATCTGCACTCCTATATACAATTTCTCTTGTTGGTTCAGCTTTATGCAGGCATATTTGTTTTAGATTATTCTAATTGGGATTCCTTCTCCCAGAAGTTGGTGAGAATGACTTGCGGTGGCTCAGTGGTTAAGATGCTGGGCTTATCAGCTGGAAAGCAGACAGCCCAGGTTCGAGATCTGAGCACCGCAAGATGGGGTGAGCTCCTGCTCTTGTCCCAGCTCCCGCTAACCTAGCATTTTCAAAGCATGCAAATGTGAGTAGATAAATAGATACCACTTCGGTGGAACGGTAACAGTGCTCCGTGTTGTCATCCTGGCCACCTGACCACCAAAATATCTTCAGACAGCGCTGACTCAATGGCCTTGAAGCGGAGATGAGCATCTGGCCCCTCAAATCTGCAACTGACTAGCAAAGTAAAATCCTCAGGAACTCCATTTTTTTTTTTCTTAAATTCAGAAAAAGGGTCAAAATAGGCATGTCTCAGAGAAGGTCAGAAGTCAGAAAGAGCTTTCCTTTAGCCTTCTTGATAACTTGTTCTTTAATTTTGTAGAAGAGAGAACATCAGTAGAGACACGCTGGAAAGGTTAGTGGCAACCTCATGCAACTTTCCCAAGTCCTGGCCTTGAATCCCCTATGTTCAGTGGTGGGATTCAAATATGTGAACAACCAGTTCTCTTGTGTGGAGGCCGCTTCCGGAAGTCCATTCTGGGCAACAAAAAAAATTAGCTATCGATTCTGCCAAAGTGGTGCGAACCGGCTGAATCCCACCACTGGCTATGTTGCTGTTCCTCCTGCATTTTCCTTCAATTTAGCTGTAATGTCGAGGGGGGGCGTCCCATAATTGGTAATCAAGCCATGAGCCCTCTTCAGCTTTCTTGCCGAATCAACTGCCTAATTGCTAAAGGAGTCAGTCCCCTGTCCTGCTTTTGAAGCATCAGCTTCGGTTAGCAAGATGGCCTTTGTAGCCAGCCTTCTGCACAACACAAATAATATGGCTAATTCTCATTTCTTTCAGCCTAACATGCAGGTACTCCTTGGCTTACAACCATTCGCTTAGCAATGGTTTTAAAGATACAACAGCACTAAAAAAAGTGGTTTATATTTAACTCCTCTTATTCATGAAGGTTGCAAATGGTCATGTGATCACCATTTGTGGTCTTCCCCACCGACTTCCAACAATATCAGTGGGGGAAGTTGGATCCGCTTAATGCTACAATTCACTTAATAACTGCAGTGATCCACTCCCATGGCCAAAAAACCATCATAAAATCAAACATGACTCATTTAACAACCCACCTTGATGGGCCATGGAAACTTTGGTCCCAATTATGATCGTAGAGGACTTTACACAACTGTTGTTTCAGTTTGCTGTGGGCCCTTTTCACCCACGCTTTGCACTTCTTCCAAACCTCCTTTATCTCTGTCTATTAATGATGTGTTACATGAAGAAAAGCAGAAAACTTTTCTGATCTACAATTATTTCAAACGTAAAGTCTGGTGTTCAGTCTCCAGCAGCTACAACATCAAATCATGTTATTGGTTTGCTTTCTGAATGCGTGAAGGTCTTGGCCTTTGCAACATTGCACGTAGGACTATTCTGGCAATTTACATCATCTCCTGTTGTGCTATCCATTAGAATCGCTTTGAATAATTGGAAGAGCAGAGATAAATGCAAAACTCTTCACTCAGAAAGCTTGAATGCGCAAACGTAGAATGGGGGAATAGAAATCTTGTCAATAGCAATTGAGAAGAAGATTTTGGAACAGGAGTTGATTTAAAATGACCACGAAGCAGGAGAGTACCCTGGTTGCCCCCCCCAAAAAAGGGCAATGGCAAGTTTAGGTTTCATCCACTAGAGTAGGGTTTTAAAATCATAGTAATGCCACTTAAGCCCATGTTAATTAGATCCAGCCTCCAATATAACTTCCAGTTCTGAGCACTGCACCTTAAAGTGTAACATGTTCAAAGCATGTAACACATTTAAAGATCATCAAGACGTTTCATTACCCATACTAGGTAACATCATCAGTCTAGCACTGATGATATTACCTAGTTTGGGTAATGAAATGTCTGCAAGAAAACAACCAAGCTCAGAGAACACCAAGGACCCCACAGTCCTCCTCCTCCTCCTCCTCCTCCTCCTCCTCCTCCTCCTCCTCCTACTCCTACTACTACTACTACTACTACTACTACTACTCCCACCACTCCCTTCTAGCACTGATGATGTTACCTAGTTTGGGTAATGAAACGTCTGCAAGAACCAAGCTCAGAGAGCACCACGGATCCCTCAGAAAGGGAGATTCTGACAGGAAGATCAGTTACTCAAAGAGAATAGGCTTCTCTTCATTGCAGGTGTCCAATAGAGACTAGATAGCCATCTATCAGAGATTCTTACATTTGGATTCGAGTGCAGAGCAGAAAACTCTTATCACCAGAACGGTCATTCTGTTATTCTTATTTGACCAGGTGAACAACATCAACCAATGATAGGCTTCTAAGTTCAGGTAAAGTCTTAGTGAATGAGTGCTGCTGAGTTTCACTCTCAAAGAATGGAGGCCCATTCTTTTGCCTTTGTATGAAACTTGCTGCCATATGTCTAGTTTAACGAAGAGAAGGACGAGGGGTGACATCATAGCACTGTTCCAATATCTCAGGGGTTGCCACAAAGAAGAGGGAGTCAAGCTATTCTCCAAAGCACCAGAAGGCAGGACAAGAAGCAACGGATGGAAACTAAACCAAAGAGAGAAGCAACCTAGAACTAAGGAGAAACTTCCTGATAGTGAGAACAATTAATCAGAGGAACAACGTGCCTCCAGAAGTTGTGAATGCTCCAACACAAGAAGTTTTTAAGAAGAGACTGGACAACCTTTTGTCTGAAATGGTATAGGGTTTCCTGCCTGAGCAGGAGGTTGGATTAGAAGACCTCAAAGGTCCCTTCCAACTCTATTGTTGCTATTGTTATTATATTTGTCCTCCCACAAAACATTTGGCTTCAACTTTTAATAGAGTCAACATTTAATAGAGTCTGTTTTACAGAGTTGCACATGTGTTCCGCTTCAAAAGGGAAGTCCATCTTCCTAGCTTGGTCCATCCTGCACAATTTAGAGATGGGAAGAAATGAATGCCCACGTCTCTTTGGAAAATAAACAATTCAAATTAACTATATGCTCTTAACCAGAGAAGGAACTAAAGTAGAAATGGGGAAGATAAATTCCATTTTTTTTTCACCTCTTCAACAAGCTGGATTATTTATTTTGGAACTCATTCCGATAATTTTTTTTCGTACTGTTCATGGTGTTTGGATGTGCCTACACATCCGCAGTTATGTGGGCTTTTAAAAGATCCTTTAATAGGCCGTTCATTATGGGATAATCTTTTTTAAAGTATTTTTCCAAAGAAATCAAATTCAAAGCAAAAGAACATTTTATTTTACATTGTCCAACAATCCAGTTTAGCCTTACCTTAGCCAACCCTGGATTTTCTCTAAGAGTTTTGGAAAGCCTCCGAGGAAAAGGAATGTTACCAGGTGGCACAACCACCAGTAACAGTCCTAAGCCTGGCATCTTGGTGGACGTCTGAGCAGGGATTTCCAGGACAGGCCTTCTCACCTCATTTGTTTGTTTGTACTCCCATTCTCTAGGTCAAGGGTAGGCAACCTTGGCTCTTTTATGACTCGTGGACTTCAACTCCCAGAATTCCTGAGCCAGCCTGGCTCAGCTTGGAAACCTCCCCCTTTCCCCTCAGTATGGCTGGCTCAGGAATTCTGGGAGTTGAAGTCCACGAGTCATAAAAGAGCCAAGGTTGCCTACCCCTGGTCTAGGTGGATAATCAAGGCATAATAGAATTTCTCTTCTGCGATAACTGTAGGGCTTCATTATTGCCCACTTAATGAGTACAAAGGAATTAATATTGGATGGGTGCCATCACAAAAGGCCAGGAAAGGTTGCTTAGATATCTTTGTTCTCTCTGCTTCCACTGATGGCAATTTTGGAACTAGTTCCTTATTGTCTTCCTCACAGCGCTTGTTGCAACATTTCAAAGGATTCGGCTTAACTATCAAGATAGTTCCGAGCTTTAACAGAATAATTTCTGTTAAATCAGTCGATGTTATCAGTTTTGTGTGTATGTTTGTGTGTGTGTGTGTAAACAGCTTGGATGTGTAAGTTATAAAGTGGGATTTATTTGTCTCTAGGAAAAAAATAAGTTGCAAGGAGAATCTGATAGCTGAAATCTGTCATTTATTCTTCTAAAGTTTAAGCCCAACTACATTTCCTTATTACAAAAGTTCATGAATTCATTGGCAACTCCAGAAAAAAGTCATTTTTTTCCTGCTTTGGTGTCCTGCATTGTATGGACTTATTGTATTGTATTGTATTGTATTGTATTCCAAAGTTGCATGGTGTCCACTCTGAGAAACAGGTGTTACATTGGATAAACTTAAGATCTGCAAGTTGGGGACTATGAGTATTAATAAACCCATTCACACATTCTTAGCCCAGTCTTATTGTGGCAACCATTATATCCAGCATCTCAATATTCTAATTCTGGACCTTTGGGAAGCTTGATAGGTAGACCATCATGGACAAAATCTGTGTGAGCACTAGGAGTTGAAAATGACTTGATGGCATATAATCAATCCATCCGTCAATCAATCAATCAGTCAAAATTCTAAATGTGCCTTCTGGTAAGCATTGTTTAGAAATTCTGAGCACATTAGCTTGATCAGGCGACATTCTTCTCGTGTCCAGAAGTTCTAACCAAGAGCTGCTTCCAAATATAGTTCTCCAGTGAATATGTCCTTTTTTTAGCTCTGCTATTATCTCTTCCGCTCAGAAAGAAAAGTATAAAACCAATTTGACATCTAAAAGCTCCTTCCTCATAGTGGCATGTGAGGGAATATGGAAACAATGCATTTTCTAAAAGAATTCATTCCAAACGAGAACATTAGCTAATTTCTTTTAATTTTGTCTCTGCATCTTTGTTTCATTTTTTTTTTTACCATTCCTAAAATCCATCTGATTGGGATGGAGGCAACAGCAAAGAGCTCCAGTATCTATTCTTGGCCTGCTAGAAGAACACTTGAGGCTCACTGGCATTTTATTTTATTATCATTTCTGTTTTATTTTATTGTTTTACTTTTTTCTGACTAGGTTTATATGGTGACTGATCTCATATGCATATGACTCTGGGTGCTGTGTTGGCTCCCCTGGCATTCTTTTTATCTTTATATTTATTTTGGGATGGATGAATGGATAGACCATTGCTTTCTCTAGTTAAATGGTGCTTATGCTCAAATGAATTACATACCACTCCCCCCCCACAAAAAACCAACTAATTAGGCCACAAATTAAGGCTCTACAAAGACTTTGCTGCACAATGTTGGATTCTATTAAGATGTACCAACTTTTGTTGGAGGGCAGAAAATGATGGTGAGGTTTCTGTGGGCACAGCATGAATTAATATTAAATTAAGAGAAATATCATTTACTTGTTTATAAATATACATCAAATGTCTATAGCAGAGGTCCCCAATCTTTTGGGCACCAGGGACTGGTTCTGTGGAGAGAGGTTTTTCAGTGGAATGGAGGGTGTGTGGTTTTGTGTGCTGCCTCCATCTCGCACATGGGGCTTTGCTTGTTTGTGCGGACTGGTTGCAGGCATGCCATGGCCCAGTACTGGTCCACAGACTGGTCTATAGGATCCAATATGGTCAAGGTCCTTTCCTCATGAAAAATCACCCCTTAACATCTGATACCACCTTTCAACACAGATATTTAAAGATTAAGGCATTGATCTTAAAAACAACTGTTTGATAGGCTATGTACTTCTTAATGGCATTACATTATGTATACAATGGAAATTTAAATACAGGAGATATGAAACTAGCAAGCCAACTTTAGTTTTACATTAGGCCAGGAGGTCCATTTGGCGATTTGCTGGACAACAGGGATTAAAGACTCAATTCAGTCATGGTAGCAGTTGATTTTTTTGTTGTTGTTAACTTGGTAACTATATACTGTATGTCCTATTACCTCCACATCTTGGCTGCTTATGAACTGACACTATTCAATCTGTCTTCCTTCAGGCCCTGGAGCAGTGCATGATGGGAACAGTGGTGGCTCAAGAAGAGCTGGCTGTGTTTGGCTGCTTCCATTGCTTCTTTTACACCTCCTGCTCAAGTTTTGACCTTTTCGACAATGGTGATTCTAAGAGGAAGGAAGGGGGGGGAAAAGGAAGAATACTTTTACAAAGTCAGAAAATAATCATAATAGTCAAGAATATATTATCACAAAATCTCGACGAGAAAGAAAACAAGTCTGAAAAAAAAAAAAACAAGAAGAATCCACAATGATCTACTGAAGTTCCAACACAATGGAGCATTCTGTTTTCTTTCTATTTTTATTCCTTTTTTTCTGTCATGGACAAGTCTGCAGCTGTTGGTGACCAATCAGTGCATTTGGCTAAGGAGTGATCATTTTGCCCCTTTGGACTCAGTTGTTTCGTTGTTCTTCTTTAGAGATCCCAGTTTTCTGATCTGGAGGATTCCCAGATCCCCTGTTTGCCACCTCATATCTCATGGCTTTCTTCCACCCATTCTCGCCACTTCACGGATTCTGCTCTCCTCCATACGATTGCCGATCCTAACTGAGAAACAATCCACCACAACCACCTTTACAAAAGGATCATGCACAGCTGCAAGAAAACAACCACCGTCACACAACGATTAAGACATTAATTCATTGTACTACGTGGATGTACTACATGGATATTACGGGATTCCGATTCATTATTAATTTTATTAATTATATTTTCTGATATGAGCCTAGAACTGTTAGTTCATTTAAAAAAAAGTACAAAAAAAAAAAAACCAACAAAAAAAGAGGAAGAAACGAATGAATGAAATAAATTGAATACTGGGCTTCTAAACTAGATTTTCAGGCTGTGGAGCATCAGTGTCAATGGTGGTTTGTGTGATCAATTGGGATGAGAATAGACAGTTTTGTAGGCGAAATTGTGAGATGGAAACAATGGGCTCCACCAGCAGAACTGAGTAACTCATTCCTTATTCTGGTGTTCAAATGAAGAAGGTTTTCCACTGTTTTCATAAAGTTTGGAAGTTCAAAGGTTGATGCTCACCCTACCTTGAGTTTGATTGATATGCTTATTCTTTTTACGCTGTGTGTGTATGTATGTCCGTGTGTGTAGTGTGTACACACACACACATGCACACATTCATTGTCTATACAGCATATATATATATATATATATATATATATATATATATATATATATATATATATATATATATATACACATTTTTTTTATATATATATATATATATATATATATATATATATATATATATATATATATATATATATATATATATATATATATATATCACAAACATAAAAAAATTTTGTTAGCATTCTAGCACATTATTTCTCAGCTGGGTCCTTACACACATTACTGCATGCTGTAAATGGAGTTAACTGTGTATTAGACTGGAGGATAAAGTTTTATTGGTAACTGTGTATTTAACTCCTCCCTCTTTTTTTTCTTTTTCCTGCTTTCTTTTTTCTCTTTCCCTCTCTCCCTCCCCCCTTCTCTCCCTCTTTCTTATTTTCCTTTGAATTATTTGCATTATGAAGACATTTATAAAGAAAAAAAGAAAAAGAAAAAAAACCTGCAGCATTTTGTTTCCACATCCAAAATTATTTAAAGGGGTGAAATAATGATGGTTAAAAGCTAACACACTTCCTTTCCCCCATCCTTTCTCACCCTGCACAACTCTTTACAGCTCCAGATTAAAAAACATGGCAAGGACTGCAAAAAAAGAAAAAAAAGAAAGAAAAGAAAGAAAGGAAGGAAGGAAAGAAAGAAAGAAAGGAAGGAAGGAAAGAAAGAAAGAAAGAAAGAAAGAAAGAAAGAAAGAAAGAAAGAAAGAAAGAAAGAAAGAAAGAAAGAAAGAGAAAGAAAGAAAGAAAGAAAGAAAGAAAAAGTTTCAAATAATGCTATGTCTTTTAAGAAGAAAGGGGGGAAAAGAAACTCTTCTCAAATTGCATTTGTTTTGTTCTCTCAGTTTTTTGTTTTGTTTTGTTTTGTTTTCCTTTTCAATGGACCTGGAGAAGCGCACTTTGATGTTGGAGGTTGGGAATAACCTAAAAAAGAGGCCTTTTTTTGCCCTTGGTTTGTTTGGAGGTCAAAATGGGAGGTTGTCTCTGACTTTACATTAAAAAGAAAAAGAATATGTACCACTTTGTCTATTCATCTGGTTGTGCCCTCTCATTCCTAAGTTGATGTGGAGGAGGATTTGTGTATAGAGCTCAGTAAAACAAAACATTGAACTCGGATACAAGAGAGAGGTGAGTGAGGAGACTACAGTGAGAAGCCAGCACTGGGAAAGGTAAGTAGTAACTAAAGCATCCAGTTGCCTTCAATCCAATGGTTCCTTGCTGTACGCAAGGAGTGACTCCTATCTGGGTGTCTTCTCTAAGTTCATTTAGTGAACATCTCATCAGCAAATTCAGAGGTCCTCACTCTGATGAAGGAAGAGATGAGAACTAATCCAGGACTCATTACATTTCGCTCTTGTAAATATTAGAACATAGAGTCATGGGGTTGGAAGAGTCCATGGAGGTCTTCTTATCCAACCCCTCGCTCAAGCAGGAGCTGCTATATCATTCTGGACAAATGGTTGCCCAGTCTCTTCTTGAAAACCTTCAGTGATGGAGCACCCACAACTTCTGGAGATAAGCCATTGCACTGATTGTTGAAAGAAACAAAAAAGAGCACACTGGAAGGCTATGAAGGAATCAGACAAAATCCTTGCCTGCTATAAATTCTCCATTCTGCAGCTCTGTCAGTCTTGACGTTCACCATCCAATGTCTTAACCTGAGCTTGGAAAGAGACTTCCTCTCACTCAATAGAACTTCATCCATTTACCTACAATTAACAATCACATGTCAGTTGGTCAGCTGGGAATATTCACAATAAACATTTTCCTTGTTTCGTTTTGTTTTTAAATGTCTAGGTTCTGATTGAAGAAGTAATTTTTGTAAAGGATTTGTATGCTATTAGAATGGGCACTTCATACACATCTAAGATGGGCAGCCCTGGTTTACACATGTTGATGGTCATATGCTTGCATGCCCAGGTCAAAGACTGTGACCCTATAGAAGTATACATGTATGCATTAATCAGAACTGCTCAAATGCAAATATCTCTGCCCACAGCAGTTTGATCAACACAACATACTGCTAGCATTCAATACAGTTGTGTGCTCTATACAACTTTAGACCATTATTAGAAGAAAGCAAAGGAAAAAAGAACCGCTTTTTGCTCATCTTGCATTTCATCAGATTTTTTCCCAATCCAAGTAGAGATTTTTACCCTACAGTCAACCATAAGTCAACTCAATAGACTAGGTTTGAATAACATGTTAATCAACAAAACACCCAACAGAGCTAAATACTCAACAAGCTTAGCATGTTATGGAAATGTGTGTTTAGTCTTTACCTGACACCACTGAGGTTGGGGACCAGAGATTAGGGTTTAGAATATTGTGTAATATTGCTCAGTAGATCATGTTTAAGCAAACTATGGCTTCACACATTATATGAATCAAGTCAGAAGACAGCAATCTTGCTGCAGGGATGTCACAACTCAAATGGAGTGTGATGAACAGATTATTTTGGATTTCAGCTATCACCTTAGCAGATTTTAATTCCATAGCATTTCTCCACCATTTTCTTGAACCCAAAGGCTGGCCTTTCCATGGGATTAATATCAGTCAGTTAGAATGTAGTATTGCAGGCTAACTCTGCTCACAGCCAAGAGTTTGATCCTGACTAGATCAAGGTTGACTCAGCCTTCCATCCTTCTGAGCTCAGTAAAATGAGGACCCAGGTAGTTGTTGTAAACCAGCCAGAGAGTGCTGTAAAGCACTGTGGGGTGGTATATAAGCCTTAAGTATTATTATTGTTATTGCTAAGCGGATATTCTGTAAACACAGCTTATACTCACAGCACCCAGTATTTGGGAGAAAAAAAAACTGTCTTTTTGGGGGGAGAGACATTCAGCTTGTTGAATGGATGGGTGCAATATCTAGAACATTTTCCACTCTCCCAAATGTTCAAAATTGGTTTCACAAGCATCTAAAGAGTAATAAGAAAGCAGGCCACTCCATATATCTCTGTACACAGTAGCAGAGCTACGTAAAAGGCAGAGATCCACATCAAATTTCCCAACTTCACAAACCATAGCTTACAACTTTAACGTTTGTGTAGTGTGTATATCTGAAGCAAAAGTGCTCCCTGATCAACATCTCGTCGCTTTCAAACTTCCACGAGGAAAGGATTTGGGGGTTCCAGATTCAGTGCAGGAAAAAATTGTGTGTCTGCCAACAACCCAACCTACAGTATATTGGCAACAGGTAGTCATTTTTGGAGCAATATTACTTAGCAGATCTTTTTAGGAAGGATTAGGAAGGGAAACAGCTTACAGGATTAGCCACCAGAAATGGAATGGATGTTCAATGAGTCTTTGCATATAATATGCATATTTCTTTTTTTTAAAAAAAATCATATGGCTCAGGTTAAGGTGCATTTATTTATTTTTATTTCCATTAGCTGTGGCTTCAAAGATGAACCTGCAATATAGACAGCAGCCTATATTTGATAACTGTGAGGACTGTAGTAAATGTTTCCACTCCTGGTATAATCGGAAAGCAACACAAGAAAAAAGCTACACTGAAGTTGAAAAAAGCTATATTTGAATAGCCACCAGAATGGACCCTTCCCCCCGCCCTCCCCACCATATACTGTAAATAGTAACTTTGGAAAATCCATTGAAGCAGCAGAGCAAAAGGTTTATTCTCCATCTGTTGTGATTTTGTAATCTTGATAGCTTTCTCTTTTTCCCTGTAGCTGTTATTCGCATTCCTTTTATTTTTTTATTCTTATTTTAAAAGAGAAAGCGTATGCATAAGATGCAGAGGAACATGTTAACGCCTTGTCTAATTTGTCCCCTAAAGTTTTAACATTTTTAAAAAAGAAAGAACTATTGAAATTATTTCAAATAAAGTATTCAACCATCCTTATGATTTCTTTCTTTCTTTCTTTCTTTCTTTCTTTCTTTCTTTCTTTCTTTCTTTCTTTCTTTCTTCTTTCCTTTTTCTTTCTTT